CGAATACTCTTTTTCTCTTTCACGGATTGGAAAATCCTTTTCCAGGATTAAAGTATATGCATTAATACGTGTTTGTGAAGTAGAGTCTACGCTGAGAATAATCAAAAATTTCGAAATCAATATTTTTTTACCATTTTTTAGTGTAACATGGCGTCTCAGCTGTCAAGTCGTGACAACATTTGTTTGATATGAAAGCTTTGCAATCCGAACGTACGAAATAATAGTTCCCAAACACGTAATTTGCACGAACATACAACGTCGAGTTCTTAGAATTAGATTTAGACGCTTTATCGCGACGAATTCGTTGTACGAAAATTGACACGTATGTGTGACTGCGTGTATCATAGGCTGCGTGAGATATTGCTGTGGCAGTATAAAAAGACATGTCGATGTGCGGCGCGCGGCGCGACATCTAGTGATTTTTCGGAGTTCAAACTTTGCTTTAGGATCCCCTTAAAGACGGTCGGCGCTTATACTCGATTTTTATTTAAAACTGTAATTTTAATGTTATCATCCGAGTTTGATTATCAACAGAGATGATAACTGCAAAGAAAAAATTGTAATTTTTCGGCAATATATAAGATATTATAGCATTAAAAGTATACATACTTATTTATACAGCATTTATACAATAAAAAAATCATGAATTTAACAATGTATTATCGAAATATTTGTGTTAATCACAAATTTTTATTAAATGTTGGCAATATCGTTCTTCAATTATATCCCCAGGCCCTATTGATAGTCACGAAAATTTGTCCAGGGCCGACGGTCTTTAATTTAATAATATCTCGTCGGTGCCTATACTAATAACGTATTCGATTTACTAACTCAAGTCAACTCACGGTCTGTTCTTTTTCTAAAAATGAACGTCGATTGTTAGGATGAAAAGGCATCTTTATGGTTTCTGTTACAGAAAATGTGTGCGGTAACCTTAAAAATTTTCTTTTTCCTCTACGTTGCAGCAGGATGATAGATTAAACTAGGAACTAATCCACGGTATACGTATACAACTAGGATATAGAAAGTTCAAAATCAAGAGCAGTCAATCCAAATGCAACATCAGATAATTCTATGCGTAGGCTTTCCTGTGAGCAACGCAAGAAAGAGAAATAGAGAGAGAGAAAACGCACCTTGGAAATCCGACATCTGTTCCCACTCCCTCCTGTAACGCTGCGTATAGACCCGCGTCTTCGCATGGCTGATCTTTCCCGTCGGCGTGAGACGTAGAGGTTGAGACGGCGAACTGGAAGTCAGCACATTTCTACATATTACGCCTCGCTCAGTGACGAGCGTGACGATTTTTTCCGTTTTTGGCGTGATACTGATAGTGTCCATTCGTGCCGAATTCTCCAGTTATGCGTGCCTGTCGCGCACAATCGAGTATTTGTATCCAAAATAGCAGCGTGAAATCACTAAATAGTTTTTTCTTCTTGCTCCGTTACTGTGGTTATCTGACGTGAGTAGGGAACTACGATGAATACGACGACGATCTCTAGACTTTCTCGCCTAGTATTCCGTTCTAACTTGTCCTAACTCCCTAGCGTAATGGCGGATGCTGATGTTACTGCACGTAAACCGACCCGTCGAGTTCTCTTTCGATCGACTTGGCTGTTAAGATGGCAGTGCAATGCAGGGCCGTGTGAAGCTCTATATACAAAGTAGCGCATTTTAACTTGCTAACCATACCCTATAACCATTAATACTAAGCGCTTATTGGACTACAGACAACTAAATTGAAATGGCGGTCGAAATAGCCAATAGGAAGATTATCGGTATTTCGGTCAGATAAAAAAAATGCCCTACTTTGGTAATATAGAGCGTCCAAGGCCGTACTTATTAATGATGGCCGAGGGCGCCTCGTCTCTCGAACAGACAGCGAATCAAAGACATAGAGAATGGACTGCGCGATCCGTATCTAAATAGTGTATCAAATGTGGTCGACAAAATGAGGGAGAGAGGGACCGTGGAAGACGGCCAATCTCCCTCTCATTCTCTCTTCCATTACACCATTGAATGGAAAGAGATAGAAATGGCTGTCTGCCACGATCCCTCTCTCTCATCCCTATCGACCATTTTGACACACGGATCGCGCAGTCCATTCTCTATGTCTTTGCAGCGAATGTTCTCGAATCACGACGCGATTTATCTCGTGGAATTTATCCCGTCGATCAATCTTTTTCGCATAATCGATGCGACTATTAAAAATCGACAATCTTATGAAAATTCGCGTGAAAACCTAAATGGTTAATTTATAATATAATACTAATTTTATAATTTATATATTATCCTGATTTTTTCGTAGACACATATATATACGTATATGCTTAAGATTTAATAATATTCAATTTTAATTTTAAACTACAATTTTATTATCGTACCCGATTTGATTAAATGTACTACGAGCGATATAATTAAAAATTTTTTAATCACTATGATTATCTTTAGGTCTCCGGAACTGTATTAAATAGTCATGATAATTTATCCAGGATCTTTAATATTTCGTTGAAGACGCATTCAAGACAAATTATATATATAAACATTATGTATATAAATTTATATATACATATATGCATATACATACATACATATATATATATATATATGTATATATAAACATCAAATGTACTCTACGATAGGAAATTTAACGTTGCTCAGTATCTACTTATTTTGACCTCGCTTTTATCTACGTTATTATACACACGTGGATATGTGTATAATACGCCAATTTTGTCGATATGCGCGCGCAAAAGTCAAGCACGCACAAAATCCGCATGAGTATCATAGTAAAACATGAGAACACTTTCTCTCTAGTTCATATTAAAATTAGTGATGTTTGCGTTCAACAGAGAAAACAGTTTTGCAACTGTTGTAAAATTCTTCAATACGATTGGCTCTTATCTTTGGTTCTTTATAGATCTAAATGCAGAAACCAATCATATTGAAGAATTTTACAATAGTTGCAAAGCTGCTTTTTCTGCTGAACGCAGCCACTAGTATTTTCTAAATTATTGTTAATTTTTTTTAATTATTGTTAATTGTGTTTCCGAAATTATTCTCGAAAAACAGTCTCCGCTTGAAAGTCACTTGAAGGATTTCGGTTGATATCCAATTGCTGTCCTGAAGTTTTCGGAGCCATTTTCGAAACAATACATTTCTCTAATATCCTTTTTTTTTACTAGATCCTTGTCATATACAAAAGTTTACATCCGGTGTTCTATTTTACAGTTGGTATAATACTCGCACCAAATAATAACTTTCTACCAAATTATTTCTGGAAAATTAATAACCATCAGTTTGCTGAAGAATAATTCGAATTGTCATAATACCTTGTTTAATGATCTAAATTAGTGATAACATAAATAAACATTGATATAATTATAACAATATATATCTCTAATAATAAAGTCTCATTTTTAATATCTTTTTATATATTATTTATTATTTATTATATATACATCTTTAATTTTATATTGTGACTAATTATTTTACTATGGACTAACACACTGACGTTTAATAATTCAGAAATTGACGAACATCTCGATATGCGAAATTTTATTTTATTGCCAGCTAGGTGAGTTATTTTGAACAGAGTGACGATTTTACTCAATTTTTTTTTAATCTTCATTTATTTCTAACTTGGCTTGTTACCAGAACACCGGAAAATTTCGAACAACCGGTCATCAGTCGTTTGCGAGTGATTTCCATTTCTCAGCAAAGCATCTCACTAGTCATCATCACTATATGTATAATTTTTTCTATCTATTCGACTGCTCTCATCCAATGTAATATCTCCTGTATATCTGAAGAAGGCTCAATCATGAGACCGAAACATGTATTAATCAATCATTTTAATCAATTATAGAATATTATATTATTTATATTTTCTTTTAATTTTTTATGTTTTAAAATACTCTTCATTATATTTGACTCTTATGTGCCCTTTATTCTCTTGTTATTAGACAAGTATTGTTACGAATTCCAACTTTCCTTTCAATTTTTCGGAATTTTCCGTCAGTCTTTTTTAATATTATGACAATGTAACCATACACACTCGTATAAATCTTTCTATTATATTGTTTAACTGACATTGCTTTTGTTACGACCCCGTCTTTTGTATCCCTCCGTAAAGGAACGCACATGAACACATACATTCTTACGTTTCATATGTTGTAGAAGACGCAGGTAGAATACCACTGTACCGTCCAGAGTTATAGTTGGGATTTAAAAACGGCCTCAGCAAATCACGTTGCAGATACACGACGGAGACGTCCTGTGGACTCACCACTTCGGCCGAACGTTATAAGTGAAAGCTCAGTTTAAATGCAGACACCACGCTACACGCACCTTCTAGAAATCATTTACGATAGTTCTGGTATGTTACAACAATTACATTTTAATAAATCGTGTATATTTATATGTTAAGTCCACACACATGAAATCATAAATTTTTTTAAAACAAATGTGTAATCTTTTCTTTTATCGTTCGTTTTTAATTTTGTCCTTTTCTGTAATGTTTGTATGTCAACGCGTTTTCTAAGAATTCTAAAAGTTAGGTGGATGTTAGAGCGATGCGTCAATTTTCACGAATTATAGTACAACCGAAATTTTAAAATTGATTTTACAGATTGCAAAATTATTTTATTATAGAATTAAAAGACGCATAAATAGAAAGTCCGGATATATCGATTTCACAACAAAATGAAAGAAAAACTAAAAAATTTAATTATTTTTGGCTTATACACAGTAAAAAATTTTGTGTTAATTTAACGTAAGATGAATAGAAAGCAACACAAATATTATGTAAAAACTTAACACAAGAAGCGTAATACTTTGACACAATTTAAAAACAAATTTTATGTTAAATTGACACATTTATAATGTTAAATTTAACTAAAATTAGATGCTATTGTCACAATTTTAGTTTAAGCAATACCTTTGCGATATTTAACATATACAATATATAGATTTAACAGATATTTACTGTTATAAAGAGAAAATAACCACAAAATATCTGTACCATTTTACATCTAAAATATGTAATTAGTTGTACAGAACATATTTCTTCAGTAAAATTAACATTTATAATATATTAAATCAACACACTACTTTTGTTATTCGTTTACTTACCTATAAATTGTGTTATTTTAACACTGAGAAATGTTACATTTAAATTTAACACAAAATATTCAAATAACACAATCATATTATGTTAAATTAAAGCTCGGATGTGTTAAAAATTTAATACAAAATTTTTTTTTAACAAGGATTCGTTTTAACATAAATACAAAGTTTCTACTGTGTATAACTGTCACTTGAAGTTAAAGTTTGTTTGATATAAAAGTTTTATAGTTCATATGAATAGTATAAGCATTCAGCGGACCTTAAATTACAGGGAGTCATCCTGTTTATGTGTGTATGTATGCATATATATTTTTAATAAGTAAATATCTATTATTTGCAGAAATGATCAATCATCATATACGACATAATCGACATAATTTTCTGAAAGAGTTTGAAAGATATTAACGTATTGCAATATCAATCATGAAGAAACCAATTTTGTACAAAGTTGAGACATACATTGTGCCTGGAACGGAGAACTTATCAATAATTAATGAGATCGATGATCTCAAGATCACGAATCAATTTGATATAAAGAGCGAAAATGTAATGTTCGAGAACAGTATGCAAAATGAGAAAAATACGTCGTTCGCTTCAAATAATAAATACGAAGAAACCACGAGGTTTTCCACTAAAGATAGCACATTGATTGGTATAAAACTCGTGAAAGGTATAACGAACGAGAATAACATTCTACGCGACGAACATTTGGATAACGATATCATTAAATATTACAACGAAGCGAATTCTTGTCGTTCTAACGAACGTGTACAAAAAACGGAGTTTCAAGCGTCAATTGGATCACAGGAGTCATTGTATCCTGCGAAACAATTCAGCAAGACGAACTGTTTGATGTCGATTGACGAGAGAAATGAGAACTCCTTGGACTCCAAGCTGAGCAACTTCTGTCGTCACGGTTACAAGAATGGCTGTACCGCATCGATTCCGTCACCTGAAGAAGTCAGCGAGGAGATCTTCAGGGAAAATTGGTTGCACAAAATTGAGATCCTAAGGAATCGTGAAATCATCTTGTGGGAAAAGGAGATAAATCTGCAAAAAAGAGAGAGGGAGTTGTTTAGAAAAAAGGAGGAACTAAGGATCACGGAGAGACTTCTCAATGATAAAATGAAGCAGGTAGAGCAGCAGCTAAAATACCAAAAAGACATGATAGTGGAAAAGACATTGGAGCAAGCGGCACAAATTTTATACGATATCGAGAAACCTGATAATCTCGTAGAAGAGAAAATTCTGAGAAAAGACGATGTTTCAAAGAAAGAAGATATTCTCAAAAAGGAAAAGATTCCAAAAAAAGAAGAGATTCCGAAAAAAGAAGTTGTTTTGAGAAAAGAAGAAATTCCGAAAAAAGAAGAGATTTCGAAAAAAGAAGAAATTCCGAGAAAAACAGAAATTCCTAAAAAAATAGAGATTTTGAAACAAGCAGAGATCCCAAAAAATCTTCAACCTATTATCAATCCATGCGAAAAAAAGGAGGAAAAGAAAAAGTATTTGATGCGTCCAAATTCATCATTGAGAAAATCCTTATCTTCGAAGACTCATTCGTACGCTACTATAAGGTACAAAGAGCGTTCTAGGATGAATTACGACGACCTAAACTCGTCGTTGTCAGCCGCAAGCATAGATACATCTAACATACGAACGACGGAGCTATTTAATCCAATGCTTCATAAGAAGCCATATGCGTTCACAAGATCAGCAAGCGAGCGATGGACCAGGCACAAAAGTATCCCAGGAAAACTGCAAAAAGTAGCTGAGGAGAAACCCGAGCATATAATTAAAGAGGAGAAAATTTTTCAGAAGTTCAGCGATAACATATGCGCTTTGCAGGAGAAGGAGACAAGGTTTCAGAATTACGGACCCGTAGATTGTATTCCAGATATTGATATTCTAAGCAAGGCAGAACATAATAATAAAGATAAACTGTCTTCATATCTTAATTTGGAAACTGACGAGAGATATAGCCATCGAGATCAAGCCAGCACTTCTAAGGATAGGCCGGTCTCCTGGACAAGTGAAACGGACAAATGGGTACAAAAGCACCAGATGTATAATTCAGCGACCAAACAATCGATTGAGAATAAGGAGAACATCGTGTGCAATAAGCCCTATAATGCTAAGAAAAAAACAAAGAGAAACAAAGAAAAAGTCGAAAAAATTCCCTCTATTTCGTTAGCACTTCATGGTACTAATAACATACTAAAATGAGAATAATAATAGTTATTATTGATCATTTGCATTACTTAATCACTCGCACTACACTGGATTAGTATATATTAAAAACTGTTTTAAGACGACGACCTTAATCTCATAATATAGCATAGGAATTTTACTTGTAACATTATTTCTTATTTGCGCAATTCGCTTGACCATCATTACTACTTATATGACTTTATTCGATTTATTATTATATTGTACTGAAGAAGACCAAAAAAAGTAGTCGACATCTATTAAGGTACGTATACTAAAATAAATTGTAAAAAAATTTTTACGCACCAATGTGGCTCATCACGATTTTTTTCTTTCTCAAATTTCATTTGAAATTCTGAGCCTTAATTAGTTTATGTAATTATAAAATATCTAAATGCAATGGCATACTTTAAGCTTTGACAATAAAAGAAAACATTTATTTTGTTAAATAACGTGACAATATCATTACTGGGCATTTCATTGTTTAAAATATTTATATGCTTTTAACATTTAACTTTATTAACTTCAAATATAGCAGTTTTTAATATGCATTAATCTAATGTAATATACAAGTCTTATTGTTTCATATTTATGAGGATCTCTAAATATTCGTAATGATCTCTGTTCAATATATAATGTAAATTTAATGTAATTTTTATATAAGTTCGTGTATATATCGGATTTGCTATGTTGACAAAATAATTTTATATGTACTACCTATTTATTGTGAAATAGTACTCTTAGCGATTATCAACTAATAGAAATACGTAATATGGCAATCCTGTATATATTTATTACTTATATCGCATTGTTACCAATAAATGAAACTGATTACACATATATATATTATTTTCTTTCTTTCGTCATTTAGTCTAGATTACACGTGTATATTAATGAAACATCTATATAACATCTGTGGTTTTCATTTGAACATATTTATTTTTTAATTAACTTAACAAGCACTAATTGATTCTGCTATTTCTTAAGTTTTGAACGATGTGCAACAAAGATAGCTAATATGGCCAAGAAGGTGGCTCCCCAGGCTTTAACTCTCTGCCGTACAATGCTGATTTATCCCTGAATGTTGTCATCCTCTGTGTTTCCATCTTATCTATCTTATGACCAATCATAAAACCTGCGAAGGGAAAGATGAGAGTCCAGTACATCTTCCAGATGTGCTTGTGTGATGACAAACTCTGAAGTAGACTCATGTCTCAGCGTAGTCTCACTTGTCCTGCTGTTCAGCAAGTTGGCGCTTCCAGCGAGCCGTATGCCTCAGATCCGTGTAAACCGCAAGCACCGTAATTGTAGGAAATAACACACTGACTAAGTTTCGCTTAACCGAGATCCAGACAGCTTTGAAAATAGCAGAGTCCATCAAACTGGAAAATTCAAGAGACGATCAAATAGACAGGGAATGAGATTTACAAGATTCTAGTAACAAATACCAAAGTAGATTAATTTTAATCTCATTTCAGCTTACACTTTATCTTTCTCTAATTCTTAGAACTAAAAAAGAAATAAAAAACATGTTAGCTAAGATTAAAATCATCCAAGGACTCAAATCTGGGTTGGAACATCTACAATGATTATTCCTATGTATATTAAAATAATGTACATTAGGCGTTTTTCAGTAAGGACATTATAAGACAGTTAATTATCAAGTCCTATACTAGAATTATCCTCTTCACTTTTACTAGATATCTATCTCACTTTTAACATACATCTAATCTCATTTTAAGTTCCAAAAGTAGAACTAGTTCAGCCACAAAACAGACATAGAGACTGTGTTTAGCAGATAAGGCAATTTCACAATTTTTTAAATAAAATTCTTTAATGTGACTGACCTTACTTCTTCACTTGATCTAATTGTAAGTGTATAAATAAATCACTAAAGACTTCCTTAACAGTTGCAAAGCTGCTCTCTTTGAACGCAGCCATTGCAAGTATTATGAAATTCTTGTTGTTTGCCAATGCTAAATAAGAAGGAAATAATTCAGTGTTACGCTGTGTTCTTACTAAAAAATGCCTAATAATTATTGCAAATAAACAATAAATTTACGCATGAATGATTGTATTGGCTATTTATAGGCTTTTTTGTAATTCTTGAACTAGTAGTATTAGTAGAAACAGACATAAAAATAATTCTACTCAAGGGTGAGAAACTATCCGAATTATATTTTTTCGTCATAATAAACTTGCGCAAACTCAATTCGATAAAGCTGTGAGAAGTGAAAATAATGTGACAGAGTGTAGCAAGGTAAGTTTAACGCGAAAAATAGTTTAACGAGATTCTCTTACAAATTACAGGCCGCATCGATTGGCCAAACCTCGCTCGATCTGGCTATTTCACTAGTTCTTAGAAGTTGGAGGTTAAGGGATTAGGGAATGCTGAAACAACGGCCGAACGATCGATGTCGATAAAACAGATTTTTAATTCCAAATAAAATTTATTACATGTATTACATACATACATACATAAGAATAGGGGCCCAGGGTCTTTATTCTTGAAAAGATAGTAAAGAAATGAAAAACTAGAGAAATACTATAGTATACGTTACCTTCACATTATTTAAAATCCCTCCAAATTTTTGATCTTAAAATGAGATAGATATATATTTGGACGTTGAAAAGAAAAAAAAGCGAAGATGCTGAATGCAAAAAGTACATGCAACGTGACAGACGTAATATAATGTCATTGGTGAAACCAGTGAAAAATTACTAGCAATAGACCGTTGTGAATGGTATGTGCAATTGAATCTGACATCTCTGTGTCTGTGCCATCTATCATCTATGGTTTATCCTAGTTTATACCAAAGCATAGAGAATGGACTGCGCAATCCGATAATGAAAGAGAGGGACCGTGGGAGACGTCAGACGGCCAATCACCCTCTCATTCTCTCTTCCTTTATACCATTGAATGGAGAGAGATAGAAATGGCCGTCTGCCACGGTCCCTCTCTCTCATCCCTATCGACCATTTTGACAGATGGTCGCGCAGTCTATTCTCTATAACTTTGGTTTATACGTTCATATTGTAATATTTTGTGGCTGTGACAAATTTCTTAACCTTAATAGTCGTTTATTAATATCTCAGTTCACGAAGCAGAGCAGCATTTTTTCTTGTCAAATCTTAATTTTTCACTAAAACACATCGATTGTGTATATTTTTATCAAGATTTGAAGTGAACAGCGTATTCTTAATATTTATTTTCGAACGCTTGTTCGGCTGAACAATAAGTTCGACCTTACATACAGAGTGTAAGGAACAGAAGTATTCGCGGAGAAACAAGCACCGTAATGCCGGTGAAAGGAACATTCGATGATTTGTAATAAAAAATAGACGAGAGTATCGCGACAACGTCAATTCCGATTGTCTTTAAAAGTCCCGTCAATAGTTGTCTCTTCTGCTAGCGCACAGAGTTTCGTGAGGAAGTAGGTGGGAACCAGGAGAAGAAAAATTGTGATATCAATTTGTGACCTTAAACAATGAGAACTGGTACGTTTTTGTAAGATGAAAATTCCTGACTAAACTTCTATTGATTTTATGTAATATATATATATTCCCTCCAGAAAAGAGAAAATCTAGGAATTTGCCAAGAATGCCTCTAAAACATACTTCGAAAGACACGGAGATCCTGTGGTCTGACATAGCCGGTCGCATTTTAGTAAATGCAATCTCCTATCCTATTGAATATGCTAAGGTTTTGATCCAGGTAAAAATGTATCATTACTGGTTAAGAATTTTGATACAAATGATACACAGTGATATAATATTGTTATTTAAAGAACAACAGTCATATATTTGTTTTATTGCATAGATCGGATACGAGCCTATTCCACCTAAACCAACTGTAACATTGTTTGGGAAGCCTGCATTGAAACTACCTAATGCTTTTACATATAGTAAATATAATTCTAATTTAAAACTTAAGAAATATTTTTCAGGAGATTGTTTTACCTTTTCTACTATGGATGCATTCTACTATATTCAGGAAGGATTATCAGATATCTTATTTCTGACAATATATCAGGCCAAAACTTTATGTTGAAATGACATGTATGATGGTACAAATATTTAAAAACTTTTATTATCACTGATATATTTTTTAGAAATATAGTACAATATTTCTAAAACATATCAGTGATAATAAAAATTTTTAGATATTCCTATCATCATACATGTCATTTCAATACAAAGTTTAGATTGAATATATTGCCAGAAATCAGATATCCAACAATCCTGCCTGGATATCTGGTGCATTCCTTTTTCTACTTTAAATTGTATTGTTTTATTATATACTCTATTTAACACAAAATGTTATTTCTTGCAGTTAAACACATAAAGAGCTTGGATGGCTTTATAGGCTGCTATAGAGGATTAGTACCCAAGATATGTTCCTATACAGTCAGTACAATAGCATGCGACAAGACTTTAGAATATCTACAGTCGAACTCAGTGGAACAGAACGAGGATGAAGACGATGAGGATGAGACAGTGAGGTATGTGTTAAGGGAAGGGAGAAAAATATGAATAGTGAATTAATAATTTCTTCTGTTTGTAGACGTAAAAGATGCATGAATGAGATCATTAGGGATGTGATCAGTAGAACAGTCGCGATCATAGTTAGTCATCCTTTGGAAGTCATTTCATTAAGGATGATGGCGCAATTTGTGGGTAGAGAGACAAAATATAGGTATAAATATATATAAATATATATAACAAATAGCATATCTTTTTAGATTTCCAGAGGAGAAAGAATGTGTGTATTGTATATATAAATCTTTTGGTCTTTTATATATATATATATATATAATATGTACTTATAAAATGAAATAAAGAAATAAGGACAAAGTATGTATATAATTGCATTTGTATTTGTTAATTTTGAAGAGAATCGACAATTTTGAATGTAATTTTCTGGAAAAATATTTGTTAAATTTGTATTCTTCTCTGGGCGATTCGTTTGTCACCGCAACAAAATTTATTTATCATATTCTTACCATTAGTAGTCTATTTGGTTCGTTCCTGGAGATTTACAAGGAGAATGGGATCCTAGGTTATTACGCAGGATTGATACCACGTGTAATAGGAAGCGCTGCAGTTATAGTTTTAACTGGTATCTCTACATACGCTATAAACAATTACGTTATACAGGAGCCGGCGATGAAGCCATACACTGCATCAACCATGAAAGTAAGCGCAAAGTTTCAATATTTTTCAAAGAGAATGTGCTCCGATATGTATTGACACAATGTGTTTCAGAACCAACGTATTAAATATTTCATATGTAAAATTTAAGCATGTTTAAAATAAAATATTTCTACAGTTTGTAGCTACAACCGTTATGTACCCGTTCTTAGTGGTATCTCACTGCATGGCAGTAAATGACTGCGGGTAAGTAAACTCTCATGTCCAATACTTTCATTGAAGATTAACATAATTTTTTCTTTTTATATCTTATTATAAATGTATTTTCTTAAAATACATTTATTTCTTAAAATACATTATTTCTAAGTAATTGACAATTACGAGATTTAGGAATATTAAAAGTTATACATATATATGCACACTTCATACTTTGAAAATAATTTTATACTAAAAAGTTTGAATAAAAAGTTTTATACTTTATATATATATATATAAGGTTACATTTCAAAATGTCCTCTCCGAGGAAAATTTTACTTGATATAATATACTACATTATATGTACTATATATGTGTTTTGAGTAAAATTTTCCTTAGAGAGAACGTTTTAGAATGTAGTCTAGAATTTACAAAAGGTAAATGCTATGATATTACTTTGTCCTTCACAAAATGAAGTGAAATCGAGTTAAGAACGTCTAATATTTCATGGTAAAGTTAATATGTTCATGAAAATTGTTCAAGATTGATAGCTGGTCTTCCACCACACATGCCGATCTATAAGAACTGGCTGCATTGTTGGACTCATCTGTCGACTCATAATCAGCTGAAGAGAGGCAGCAGTTTGTTATGGCGTTACTATACTGGACCACAAATGCTGCTGAATGGCAAGCTGATACCAATTATGGGCAATAACTTTTACCAACCTAGTTCGTAATGAGCGTCTTAAAGTAAGCCAGATCAATCTGTTTAAAAGCCAAATAAGTTTGCTATAAACCAAATAAGTGTCGACCAATCGTGTTCATTTGACGATTTATTTATACAGTGTATAGATACAGCCATATAAAAAGGAAAAGGAAGAAGAAAAAGTTTGGTTTCAACGAATTTATATAGGAAGATCGTACAAGAATTTGCGTGCACTAAACATTCTTGTAAGATCAAAAGTCATTATCAATACAAAATAATAGAAAAAAGAAGATAAATCCAGTTAGGATCAATCGAGATGATTGTAGTTGAAAGGTAATCGTAATTAAGTGTCATTACAACATTTTGTAATGAGAAAGTCAACATTCATTAAATCCTCAATGTGCATTTATAATGACTGCGAGATTAATAGATGTTCTTACCACACAACACACACACACACACACACGCGCGCGCGCGCGCGTTATGATTTTTATTCTAATTTTTAAGAAAAATAACACATCTGCTCCTACATAATCACCTTGATCGATCCTACATCTCCAGATCACATATGCGATACAGTACTTGTAAATAAAAATAAATAAATTGCAACAAACACATCAAATAGTTGTGTAATAAAAAAAAGCGATGCTGGAAGAAGTAGATATATATTTTTACTATATTGACAATTAGATTTTGTTTCGACAATTAATTATTGATTTACAACGTGGCCTCCTCTCTACTCTTCTTGCCGATAATTGGTAAGATTTCGATGAATATTGCATTCGTCGTATTATAATTACATATGTATATACACGCACGCATGCACAAACGCACAAGGTAACGGTTTATATGATTTTTTAAACATTTCCAACAGTTAAGAAGATTCTAAAGCCATCTGTATTATCAACTAATCGATTTAATATATATTTGTATATATAAGTTATTTTTTTCCTCTTTTACAGATTCAAAAATTCTTTTCTAAGATTAAAATATACACGTGTCTGTGGAGTTTATACCGAAAATGATAAAAAATTTTTTAATTGAGATCTTTTTTACTATTTCTTATACTTCAATATACAGATTATCTGACCTGTCTAGACTAGAGCTGTCACGTTGTAACATTTGATTCATATAAAAGCTGTACTTACGAAATGGCAGTCCACAGACTAGTAGTTTGTACGAAGAAACAACGTGAAGTTCTTAGAATTGGACTTACAAGGAAAGGCTCAACTCGGACATTCAGAAAATTATGAAACTTTGGCAATATATGGAAAGTATCCCTGATATGTTGTAAATAATTTTTGTTGTTGCCCGAATTCACTTTGAAGGGGTAAAATCAACTTTTAAAAATTGACTTTTTCAAAACCCACTTTTTGTTTTTATTTCGTTATTATTCACCAACAACAGGAGAGATAGAACAAATTTTTTAAAAGAAAACATTTATTTCTTTTAATAAGATTTATTGATTAGAAAACTTATTAAGTTTTTCTGTGTGCGCCATTGAAGACAGGCCTAGAAATTTCAAGTTTTGCCATCATTCTATGACTTCTAAAGAAGCTCTGTGTACTATTTTCTGGCAGTTTTTCTTTTCCTCAGAACACTGCTCTGATTGAATTTAAAATAGACATTAGGAAAATGTTATTACAAAATGGTAATAATGTAAATAACGTCAATTTTTGTTGTGAAAATTAGAGTTTTTATGCGTTTTTTTACATTATTACCATTTTATAATGGTTTTCTAATTATTTATTTTAGGTTTAACTTGTAGAGCAGTGTCCTAAGGAAAATTAGACTAACAAAAAATAGATTATTTCCTTGGAGGTCAGGGGATCATGGTAAGACGCGAGGAACTCGAAATTTTCGAATTTATCAATATGCTACACACAGAAAATTTTTATATTTTTAATTAATTTTATTCTACAAATTAATATTTTCTACGTTTCAAATACAATATAAATAAATGAAGACCATAGTCAAAGTCTTGCTGCCTAATAATATTTATCAAATATAGTAGTAAACAATACTTACATAGTAATAAACGGAGAATTGTTATTTATTCCCTTTTAATAAATTGTACATTTATTCCTTTCATGAAATAGTTTTGCAAATTTCATCTTCAATTTGATCATACAAACCTCTGTTTTTCTTTAATTACATTATTTATGTCATAGCCTGGCAAGATGTATTGCATTATTTTATAATGTCAATAAAAGTTAGTCCATATTAGACGATCTAGTTCAAAAAAACAACGTACAAAGATCGTATCTGAATAAATCTAAGGTGTAATATTTCGTTCTCATGCAGTCGAGAAATCTTTTCTATCGCTGAACTAATCAAAAGTATAAGGTCACCCCCATTGTTATAAATCGCGTCGAAAATAATCAGAGGAACTTATGGTAGAAGATTTTAATCCTATCAACCTGTTCTTGTGTTAACGTGATAAAGATTCGGACGATCAACATTTAATATTATTTTTAATCTACATCACTTCTTACGCTATTATTAGATATAATAATTGTTTGATGAGTTCGTGTTTACGCATGGGGATAACTTTTTTTTTTATTCAGATTCTTTATCCACAAAGTTATGTACATCGAGGATATTGCGCGCGCTTTCAGGAATGTTGGCGAAATTGAAATCGAGGTGCACACATTCAAACGCGTTGGCTCATAATCAAATAATACAAATACTTTCAGTGCGGCACAATAATCGGAAGCTGTTCAGTATTCACATTCTACAACGAAGAGTTTGGACATGATTACATCCGAGGAGTTTCATTTGTTTTTTGACATAAAGTCTTGTTCCTTTTTTCCATCTCACTCGTTAAATATTATTTATATATACAGAAGTGTATTTTTCTTACAACATATGAATTACAAAAAAAAATGAAAAAATAAGAAAGAGACTGACAAAGAAACATGTCAATATTACCAAGGCAGCATAATACTTAATAGTATGAGTAGTTTTTCCTCTTGAGGACAGATAGATATAATTAGCTCGTGAGCGTATAAATAAATAGTATACATCATACATTTCTTTACCATTGTTCTACTAATTCGTTTACCAGCATACAGTCACCGTAAGATCAATCGTCAACGAAAATTTTTCTGTAGTAAATTGAATGTAAGCAAAACAAAACGTGACGTGATGCTGATCGGAAATATTTAGTGGACTTACATCCAGAGACAAATCTATTTTCTTATATAGCTACGTTACAAAATTCGGTTATATTAGAGCTTATCGAAATTTATATTATCGATTATATATTGTATACAGATGCCTATCTAACAGAACTCAATTCTTTACAGTAGTTGTAAAAAAAAATGAATTTGCCTCTAGATACATCTTTATTTTATATACAGCGGAATCCGTTTTAATTCTTATATATATATATATATAATAGCAACTCAATATATTGTAATAGTGTTCTTTTTTCTTTCAGAAATCAAAACGAAATAACTATAAAGAAGACTGCGTGACAAATATAGGAGACCTACGGACATAATATGAATAGACGTAGCATTATCTATCTTCCCCTAGAATAATAATATGCTAACAAATAATAGGATTACGATAGAATAGAAAATAAGAACCCTTTTTTTATGCGCGCGCAAATTGTTTGGTAAGATAAAGCAAGCTAAGCCATCATTAATATAATAATATTGAGAGAAATTTCACGAAGATGTATTTGATTGTGTGCAGACTAATGATAGTATATTTTTGCACAAGTGTATTCGTTGTTCTCAAATTAATATAAATATATGAGTGTAATTGTATTCGAAATACATTAACATTGGAATGAAATACTGTTTCACAATTCTAAAAAATATTAAATTTTATTTTATTACGAATTTATAATCTGATGTGAAAAGAGACTGATATATACATAAATATTTTATCATTCGCCTTATTATTTCACTTAAAATTGTAATGTGGAAAGAAACAGAATTGCATCCTTTTTTCTGTTTTAACGTAATCCTATCATAAGCATCAATATCAGGAATGAATTGCTTCGTTTATTCCTGCTGTGTCTGGAAAAATACTATGTGACGTACAATGCGTATGTCATGAAACTAAATTAGGCCAAAATGCAGCGACAATACTTCGTTCATTTCGATTTTCATAAATTGAAATATTATAAAGTCTATTTCGCTTTTAACATCTTTTAAATTGAAACATTTAAGATTTTTAATTTCTTTGAACCTTCGTAAGTTGTAATTGTCGATTTTTATAGATCTCTAAAATTGAGATACAATTATTAGGTGTACAAAAAAGTTCTGAGCTTTAGATTTCATACAACCGAAATAACAATGTAAATTTTATATATCTTCCCGCCCTTTTGCGGTTTTAAAGCGTTAACATTTGGCCTTTTAAAATGCCATGCGGTTTGGCGTTTGATGCATAACCTCAAAAATCAGTAGTATTCACGATGGCAATAACAAAAGAGCATATTCGATTTTCCATCCACTTCGCGTTTCATCTGAAGAAAAATGCTGCTGAAGCCACTGCAATGATTTGTGCTGCATATGGAGAGAACGCTGTAAGTCATGCTACATGTAAAAGATGGTATCAAAAGTTTCGCCAAGGAGATTTCAGTCTTAAAGATGAATCGCGTGCTGGACGCCCTGAAAAGATTGAAACGGACGAATTGCAAGCACTGCTGGATATAAACTCTGCGCAAACTGAAAAGGAGCTTGCAGAACAGCTTGGCGTTACGCAGCAAGCCATTTCCGTACGATTACATACGATGGGAAAGGTTCAGAAGGAAGGCAGATGGGTTCCGCATGAATTGTCCGAAGAAAACAAAAATCGACGGCGTGACACTGCACTCACTTTGCTTTCAAAGTTCCGGAAAAAAGATTTTCTGCACAAAATCATTACAGGCGATGAAAAGTGGATTCTTTATGATAACCCTAAACGTAGAAAATTATGGGTTGATCCTGGTCAACCTTCGACATCGACGCCAAAGCCCAATATCCACGCGAAGAAGGTTTTGCTCTGTATCTGGTGGGATTGGAAAGGTGTGTTGTACTACGAGTTGTTACAACCGGGTGAAACAATCACGGCAGATCGCTACCAACAACAATTGATCAATTTGAGCGATGCATTAGAAGAAAAGAGGCCATTTACTGGCCAAGGACGTCGTAAAGTGATCTTGCTTCATGCTCGACCACATGTTGCGAAAGCGACTCAGGACCATATCTTTGCGTTAGGCTGGGAACTTCTTCCGCACGCGGCGTATAGCCCAGACATGGCGCCTTCCGATTACTACCTATTCCGGTCGCTGCAGCATCATTTGGCTGATACACATTTCGTGAGATTAGAAGAGATACGAAAATGCATTGATGACTTTATCGCTTCGAAACCGGTGAGTTTCTATCGTCAAGGAATTCGCAAGCTACCCGAAATATGGCAAAAGGTCGTTGATGCAAACGGAGAATATTTCGCTGATTAATAGTTTTTCGTTTCTTTTTGAATAAAGATTGAATTTTACAAAAAAAAGCTCAGAACTTTTTTGTATACCTAATAATTCTTACAACTTTACAATTTTTTTTTTAATTGAAATTTAATTTATAAGAACAACGGATATCAAAGATTATATCGTAGTTAATAAGTATTTAAGATTACATTCTAGAAACGGTACACTGTGTTATTTTTCTCTCACTTCTAAATCTTAATTCATCAATTGACGTTTTCTATAAAGAGATTCCTTAAGATTTAACGCAATAGTTTTCGTATTTGTCATTGTTTCTTCTGTTATGTACGCGCGATTTATCGCAGAACATACATATACAGGGTATGCCAGAAGTCGCGCATTATTTTTGAGCATGTTTAGAATCATATTTCGAGATTTAGCAGTTTTTTGTTCAATATTAAATCTTCGACATATATTTGACATGCGAAACTTGAGTTAGCTATTTAATTTC